AATTCAATTTTAAGGGTTTTTTATCTTTCTGTCATAGAAAAATAAAATAAATTTCTGTCATACTAGAAATAAAATAGTAAAAAATGCAGAAAAGTTATTTAGTTTATTATGTGCCACCTGCATTATGGCAATCAAATACCTCTTGTTCATGCTTTACAAAACTTTACTTTTTTCCAAATACACCCTTTCCTTTAACTGTTCAAAGTCAAAATAATCGCTAAGCAAAAGCTCTGGTCCAGAGATGGGTGTCCTTTAAACCAATACATTTTTCATGCCAACATCCCACAGAGGGAGTAGCCTTTTTATTTGGGGTGAGAGAGACTGTGAGAGCAAGCACATTACAGCATCAAGAAGTAACTTGGCAGAACTCCCTCCCCTTTCACACACTTCCACTTCAAAAACACAGAAGCTGTTCCATGAGTGAAATAAATGAAATTTCGCTTTCTCAGAGTTGGAGACTCTAAATGTAGTAAGGAGTAGATGAATACTAAGGATTTTGCTGAAGTCAGAGTATTCACAACATCTCCAACTGCATTCTCATATGCTCACTAGAACTTGCATTTCAGCTTTTCCATCAGAGGAGATTCTTATCTCTACCCCCCAGCCAGCTCCCATGCTTTTCCACCAAGCATCTAGGCATCTAGTGTCAGCCAGCTTCAAAGTTACTGGGTGAAGTCAGACAGCATTACACATGCAGCAGGTACAATCACAGTACCCCAATTTCCTAAGATGGCCTTAAAAAAAAAAAAGGTGCTCTTGATAGCAGTAAAAATTAACATTAAAATACAGATAAACAATAGCAATAAAACTCACTATAAGAAGCATTACCAACAAAATTCATGTTTATTTGACTCTCTAGATTATTTTCTTTTGATTTCATTGTGACATTGATATTAACTTATTTAGTGTGCACACATATGACTGAAGGTCTTAAAAAAAACATGATTTAAGTGCTCAGAGAAACCATCAACAGAAGGACAAGAACCAACAGCTTGCAACTGCTGATAATAATTTAGCAATAAATCGTAATAGCAAGCAGCTAACTAAAGGAGTGGGTTACCACCAGCCTTGAGATTACTTTAGTCAAACATCAACACTGGCTGTTATTCCAACAAATATGCTACAATTCAGCCACTTGTTATTGGCCTTGAACACCTTGTAACGAAAAATAAATTGGTTCCATCATTATATGGCAGAGTGGACTTGTTACTCCAGTGGTCCAAATACATCTAACCAATCCTGCATAGTTGGAAATTATTAATCTAAACTTTGACAAACTACTGAAGCATAAATAAAATGTTCACTCAAGGAACACTTATTTGTTTTCAGACTGCTCTTTTCATGTAGTGCTGCTCCTCAGAGGTGCTCATTTTCTATCATGATATTCAGTGTAGATAATCAGAGCTTCACCTAAAACAACAAAACAGATGCTAACTGTGCCAGAACCTACACTCAGAGAGTGAAATTTCGGTTGCTTTGAAAAACAGGGCAGCTGCTTTGGGAGGGGAGGGTGATTCACAGTTTGCCATTTTCAGAGAATAGATAAAAGTACATTTAAGGACACAAGGAGAAGGTGACTTACTCAAAAAACTTTGAAAACAGAAAAAAACAGTCCCCCTCCCTCTCCCATGATATTCCATGACAGAGGAACCCAATCCACAAACCACTGAAAACATTTGAGAACTTTCCCACTGATTTCAGCACGTACTGACACAGACCTATGTTTCAGCTCCCACAATGTGACCAGTATAACAAAAAGGAAGAAGCTAAAGGTTAAAAAAGAAAAAACAAAACCATACGATTACTGCTTTGAATGAAAGACTATAGAAGAAGTGGTCTGTATCCACTTCTTCATTCATATGAGTCTCTGGAAGATGTCACAAAATCTTAGGAAGGTGAGCAGGCTACCACTAAATCCATTAAATAGATTAATCCATTAAATAGAATAAATTAAGTGTCATAGACCAAAGCAAAGGTTGGCATCATTTACAGAAAACTGTTTTTTTCATTTAAAATTTAATCAAAACAAAACAACAGCAGATATTAAAAAGTGAGAAATCCTACACTACTCCTTCACACTATTGTTGTGCTCTCACCTAATGGGCAGGACTAAATACAGCAGTAAGATCCCTAAAAAATTCTACAAATACAAAATATTTTCTAACACATAACTTAACCACAGGATTCACTGCTCATGATTCTTTTGGTTCTAATTTACTGGAAAGATTAGATTCATAACTGACAGAAAGCAATTATGTGGTACACTTGCCTAGCATGTCTGACATCTTCATTTTTAGTAGTTTCTCTTCAAAAGACAGACAACTTCCAGCAGTGTTGTACATTTTTCAGCTACTGCAAGCAATTAAAACAGGTAGAATTAAGAGCCACTGAAGTGCTCAATTTATTCCCCTCAGTTCCTGAGAGACAATAAAGGAAGCACCTCATGTAGCACCCACAACACGCAGAATAAATTTGCACCTATTCAGCTGCAAATGCAGACCTTGCAGCTTTAGAAGGGTCATCTTCCTCCTCATGCCCCTTTCTCTCCTCCATCAGAGATTTCAGGTCCCTGTTGGGCAGCTTCTGCTCCTGGTGTTCTGGTCACAACTTGAAAGGCTAAAACACGAGTCCTCCTCCTCTACCTGTCAAGAGCATAAAGTCCCTCTGCAAGTTCACTGCTCCTTGTTCAAACACTGCTACACAGGTCAACCTCCCTTCAGGAAAGGGGAAACAGGCTGAGAAGAAACACACAGCATCTGTCAGCAACATAAAAGAGCATCTTTTCACTAACCATACAAGGAGATTGCGCTGCTTCTTAAATGCAATTTCTGTTTCAATAGTTGACTATTTCATTTCTTGTAGTAGGAGGCCCAAAGCTGACAGCTTTGAATAGCTTGGAAAACAACTTCCTCTCTCTTCTCCTTACCTGATATTCCCACTTATTGTCATCTTAACTTTCTTCATAACTGTTTCCCTATTATATCAATACTACATATACAAGCCAGAAGACGAGACTGGCTTTTTTAATATCCCACGATGGTCTTAGTGTTTTTCAGGATGGCCTCCTAAGACCAATATGTGCACCCACTCCTCTGCTCACAGATGCTGTCTTCCTTAGAAGTAGGTATTATTAAATCAAATACCAATGGCTATTTCATCTTCTGATTTGAAGGATGTTTGAAAAGAAAGGAATTAAGTGATACCTGGTACAGCTCATTCTCTGATTCGCACTTTAGGCTAGAAAATCACCAAGAACTGTGTAGAATTTGGAGATAATAAACAAACATAAAATCTCAACACGCTTTTCTTTCTTCTATGAAATTACACCTAAAACTATGGAACTAGTTGATGCAAATCAACCAGCTGATGTCACATCAACACATCAAGCTCTTCCATATTTACAGGAAATGGAAGAAAATTCTTTTGTGTACCCTTCCCACTAGGTTTCCCTTACTGCCTCTGCAGTAGCTCATTGCAACAACCTGTCAGATTCTATTAAAAATGTATTTGAAAGATTAGTTCTCCCCCAAGCCCCTTGAATTTAAATAAAAATTTGTTCAAGTTGTCTCTTGTTAAAGCAGAAAACTAGGTTGAAAGAAAATAAATACAAACTGCAGATAAACAATCCTGGGGAAGGGAATGGGACAGAATTTCCATCTTCGTATGACAATGCTTTTTAATAGATCCTTTTAAATTCTGAGTCAAATTTAATACGAGATATTACTACTTACTGAGTAGGTTATAGCACAGGTATACCACTGCAGCCTTCAGAAGAAAATACTGAACAGATTTGTAAAGCAAGGATTCAGAGTTTACTAAGCATGTATCTGCCCATATTCATACAGGTATAAGTTTTAGGGTGAAATCAAGTTCTATGAGTGTTACAAGAGAAATAAAATAGTCAGGACCACTGCACGATAAAACAGAGTTCTTGAAAAGAGAGCCCGACCCCACGACTTTCACTGCAGACCTGAGAGGGGTCAAGGTGATTTACAGCTTTTGCAACGCATGTCAGAAAATCAGGAAACATTTAAATTGTAACTGCTATATTTGAGCATCAGTGTGATCTGTTTAGAAAGAGATAGAGTCTAATTTGATCCAGAATCCAGGACATTACATCATCATTTATTTATTCTAGAATCTGGCATTACACAACAGCTATCTCACTCTATTCAGCCAAGAATTTAAACTTACAGCAGGCAATGAAGAAGAAATGCCAGAAGCGTAACATCAACACATGAAAATACTTCCATTTGCTTCCAGCTATGGTGGCAGAGGGAAGTACAAGGCAAGCATTGACTGCAATATGACAATATGTCATCACACCAAAGCCTACACCTCTTCCTGCATCAACTTGCTCTGTGGCATGACTTGCACTGACCTGGAACCCTCAAGCACAAATCATGAGCAGCATATTTTAGAAGTTAACTTGCAGATCACATCACAGATAGGTCAAGGCCACAAACTGATTAGACTGAATAATCAAGTATCAGCTTTACCAATAGACTAGATGTAGGTTTTGTGCTCTTGGGTTGGGTTTCTTTTTAATTTAATTATAAGCATCTCTCTCAGTTGATATATTCAGCAAGAAGCCAGTGCAGCAGCACTTTACATAAAGTATTCTCTCAGGAGTGATGTTTTTTTCCTGCCTGTTACAGTACAGGCCTACAGTTACAGGAATTATCACAGGCAAAGTTCTATCAAGTATTTTCCCTGCATTCAACATTTCTCAGCATTGAACAGTTTTAAATGGCCACTTTTCTTAAGACATCCAGTTGTATTACATAAAAAAAACCCCAAACCTTAAGTATCCCACGCAGACCCTTTGACTAACACATTGTTCTGGTAGTTATTCAGAAAATTAAAATATGTTTGAGCAATAGGCATATATTAATTCACATGCACACCATAACACTACTATCTGTGGCTTTCTTATAGCATCACTGAGAACTACTAAAGGAATACCTGGACTATGTAAAGTACAAAGACATTTAACCTACCTCATCAAAGCTGCTATCTTCCTTCTTCAAGGCTTTAAAATAAAAAGAAAAAAGAAATTATTATCTATACTGCATTTCAATGAACACAAACCACTAGAAAAGAAAAAAAGAAATAAAAAAGAAAAGAAAAAAAGAAACCACCACAAAAAACTAGGGCATCATTTTCCTGTTATAATAGGAAAGAACAAGCTGGCATGAATAACAATTTTATACTCAAAATCTGAATCTGTAAATGGAATGTAGACCAGCACAGCGAGTTTCTAAGAAAGTAAATTTACATATTTATGAAAAAATCCTCTCAGGTTAAAGAAAATAAGAGTTTGTAAGGGTGGGTTTGAGTTTTTATTTTAATTTCTAGTGAGTGTGAAAACCCTTTATGGACAGCTTAACTGAATTTCAAAAAGTATAACAAACACCTAACTATGTATTCAGTTTTTCAAGTACTAACTCTTTATGAAATAGCATGCATTGTAACATGCCTTTTTCCTATTTCTTTTTTTTTGCAATTTTTAGTATGACTTGCACTAAAGCAGAAGAGATTTCTTCCTTACACCATTAACAAGTAATTAATCAAGAAACATATGAGAGAAAAAAGTGCAGAAAATATGTGAACTGGTAAAAAAATGAAGACAGGAATAGTTTTGCAGTTGTAGCAAAGATTAAGCTGATGGAAAGCTTTCCTTTAGCACACTGGACTTCTTTGCTGAAATACGAAGAAAATTAATTTCTCCAAATCTGCACTGAACTGTGCCAGTCCGAAGGTACGAGCCTGGTTCTTTTTCTCAACCAGACCCACAAGGGACTGCACTCCGTGTGCTGCACGCCGTGACCTGAAGGTGCACTTTGTTTCCCTCCCTTGAAGAGCTAAAATTAGATGAACCATTGCATCGGTGATGGCACTGGTTCTTTTCAGTTTAAACCACAAAGATCTTCCATTTGAAGGAGGTCATCTGAACAACCATGCTGCTCGTGCAGTGCTGCACCAGAAGGGTCCCTCCTCATCTTTTAAGCACCATAATGTTGCTTACACTCCTGCATATTTCTACAGGAAATAAATATTTAAGCACCTAGCATGGTTGAGGATATAGACTCCAGTTCTTCTTTTTCTCTTTCAGATGCTCCTTCTGTCTTCAAAAAATCACTACTAATCTCTAAACATCTTCCAAATCTCGTCTTCAGGAGCAACTGTGTTACCAGGTTCAAAAACAAGAACAAGCAGAAAAAAAAACCCACCAAAACATAACAAAAAAAGAAGCCCTGAAAACCCCCAAAACAAACAAACAAAAAACCAAAATAAAAACAAACAAAAACTCCACAATAAACAAACAAAACCAAAACAAAAGCAATGGCAAAAGTGTAGAAGCTGTATCAGAGGTGGTACAGAGGCAGGAGCACCTGTGCAAACGGTGCTGCACCACCAGAATCTCCACCATGGGCAGGGAACCCCCAATCTGTGGAACACTTTTTCAGAACATGTTTCTAATCTTCCCAATTACCATTCAGGTCAAAGCGACATACAAGCTATAAATTAGTAAATTACACACCATAAGCTGTGCTGACAAGCTCTTCTCCTTTACCAAAACAGAAGATTTTCACATGACCAGGACACTACAGGAATAGCCAAAAGATTGCTATATGAAATTCACAACGTAACAGAACAAGAAGAAATGGGAATCTGTAGTCCATTGCATATATTTGGCTTGTCTTTAGCTTCTACCTTTGACTAAAAAGAGGGCTTTTAAGAATCACAAAAAAAGTATGAGAGTCCTGACCACCCATTTAATGAGATTCTGTTTAATAATAGTATCAGTCTCAACCAATTCACTACATAGCATCTCCCAAACAAGACACCAAAGCAGCATATTTTATAGAACAAACTATATTAAAAATACCTCTTTCACCTTGATGCAATCTTTTCCTTTTTAAACTGTTAAAAAAAAAAAGTTCTGCTGAACTTAAGAAAAAAACTAACTGTTTACAAATGAACTTCTCATTATCTCAGGTATGTGAGCTATGTGGATGTATATCAGAGGAGATTAGTGGAGATAACCTTTGTATCAGTGAGGAGCTAGTAACAAAGCCCAGGGATGCTCAGAAAGGCCAGTTGCTTTCAGCACACTGTGATAAATCTCAGCAATGTTTTCTCTCTTTCTTTCTTCCTTTCCTCCTTCCTTTCTTTGTAACCTGGTGCTTTTGACTAAAGAAACTCCTAAGAAAACAGATGTTAAATGGCATGAGTTGAAGTGATCTCAAATGTGATTCTGGTACTATATGAGCTTCAACAAATGGATAGCTAAGAACTCTTCACATGATTAAGAGATGACCATTGCTTTTATTAAATTATTCACTAATAATTTAATTACATAATTATCAAAGGGCAAAACTAAGAACCAAACCTAATAAGGGTTTAAATGCTAAATTAAACAGTGAGTCAACTGAATCTCTAAAAGTTGCTTAACATATAGTTATGATGTGCTCACTTGTATGGTCAACACAACCTCTAAGCAAGGAAAGCAAATTTTTTAAACGAATATGGATGTTCATATAAAAATGAATGGGCTGGCAGAAACTTATGAATGAAAATAATTATGTCTGTTGTTTCAGATTCTTAGCAATATAAGTTATTTATGATAAGATAACTTTTAAGAGGGACACACCTTGAAACACCAGAAAATTTCTGCCAGGAGAAAGGGTACCTAAGCCACAAAGATAGTTCATTTCTCTAGAACTGGAAGCATACAATTTCTGCAGCAAAGAGACACCCTGTAGCACCACAGACCACACACATTTCCCCCAGCACACCACAGCACTGTCTCATCCTCTGCCAGATTTGCACATAATGGAACAAAGTGAATGCTCAGGAAAAGGCTCACTGAGTGGGCAATTTCACACATCACAATTTTCAACTCAGCAAAACAAACATTTTAAGTATTAGGTACTCTAAGAGTTACAGGACTGAGCCCAGTTTTGCTTGGTGAGCCAAAACTTCATCACCCTGCTCCAGGAAAGCTGGTGGATGCAAAGCATCAGTTCACAGTTAAGAAAATGGGTCAAGTCTTCCTGAGGCTGCTGTTGGTACCCTTTGGGCCTCTGCTGTGCCCCAGGAACAACTACACTCTCTAGAGATGGTGCAGAAACAGTTACAAACGTTACCTAACATACATGAGTGCACTCAAAAAAACCCCATAAATTAATTGCAGCTACAGCTTCTTAAATTGAGAGGATTACTTGGTGGGAAGAAGTGGGTCTGAAATGCAGTTTATTGAGTGTTAACCTGCAAGCTCTAACAAAAAAAAAGCTCACTGCCAGTGACAATCAGGATACATTTCCATCACTCTTATCCAAGAGGCTAACATAAACTTGCGTATCTGAATCCGGTACTGAAGTTTGGAAGAATTGCATTTGGCTGACAGAATACTGCCAACACTGGGGGAAGGTGTAACAGTGCTTTATCGTTTCAAGAATGATCATCAGATCTTTCCTACTGCAACACATAAAGGTTTGACTCACTAATTATTTGATTCAAACACCACAGTACTCTCACATCATTTATACAACTATGCTCATGATACTATGTTCTGTACTCAAACCTGCAAAAACACAGACATTGAAGCAGAACAGAAAAAGTTAATATATCATCACTCTTTTACAGGATCACAGAATGGTTTGGGTTGGAGGAGACGTTCAAGATCATCCCAGCTCCCCTGTTATGGGCAGGGACAACTTCCACTAGACCAAGTTGCTCAAAGCCCCATCCACCCTGGCCTTTACCACTGTCAGGAATTTATTATTTATGACAAATCACAACTGAACAGATGACTGAAAAAGTTAGAAATTAAATAAATATTTAATTTGCAATTTGCTAACCATACCAAGCAACCAGCACCTACAAAGAGAGCTTTAAAGCCCAAATGTCAAATATCCAGAAAGTCTTTTTCCAGTGAGGTTTTTGTTTTCTCTCCTTCACATCAATATAAGAGTTAAGTACAGCACATGTTTTAACCAAGGATTTCCTGGTATGCAAGTTTAGAATTTATTTGCTTGGGCTTATCTGTGCCTCTGGTATCAGAGAGTGGACTATCTTCAAAACTCACATAGCTAAATTAGAAGTTTTTTTGCTTAAAGTGCAGTCACCAGAATGATGATCAATATATTTGAGCATCTACAAACTTGCTGTCAGCAGCTGTGTTTTAATCACAAAACAACCACCAGCAAACAAACAAATAAACCAACTGCCTACCAGAGCACACTCCTACACTTCTGTGCATATACACACAGAACTGAAGGAGCTTTTAGACATAAATATCCCTGTATCTAAAACCAGGGCAGAGCTCCCAAGGAAACTAAAAGCTTGTTTAATTTGTGCAAAATGACAAGAAGAGATGATCACCCAAGCGAGCCAAATAAAACATGCAGAAATTACCAGCCAGAGGGGCCTTGATCCCTAAAAGGCATTAACAGGACTGTCACTGTTACAACAAAGCAGCATCCTCATTCAAAACATTTTCTTTGTTAATGACTTCCACCATTAGTAAAACCCTTTCAGAGTTCTGTGGAAGAGTGTCTCTGTGTTTATACAGGCACAGAGATATTTAACAGACCAAACACCTGACTGCTTCATTTATTTTCCTTCTCATCAAAGAAAGTTAAATGTATTTTCCAAGTTTAAGACTGATGCTAGGTGAAAGCGGTTTTCATACGCGGACAGAGATTTGTAACAGTGACTTGATATTTGCTTTATAACTGTAACTTTGCATTTCCCCATGAAACTCTCTGGTTTACAAGTATGAATAAGCTCTTCTCAGTCGTTTTCATCCTGGAGTAGGACAATAAAAATACCTGATTTCAAAGACAATCATCCTCTTAAAAGCTTGCAGTGCTTGAATGCATACACAGCACGTGAAAAATTAAAATGCCCAAGAGTGCCGGCACAGATCCTAGGCGGGGTTACTGGGGGAGAACCAGAGGCCACAGCTCCTGGTTGCGGCACAGGCACTTCACACCCTCTGACCGGGACAAAGCAGCTCTGCAAGCTGACCCAGACTGGCTGTGAGGGAAGCCCTCCCAAATGGACAATGCAGGGCAAGGACCGTGGAAGGACCCATACAGAAGGTGTGCAAGCACAGGGGTGCTGCATCTGCTCCCGTGTGTCACAGCACCTCCACCAGCCGCTCTGTCCCACCAGCTCGGGGATACTTCACACCTCCTCTGAGGTACCTCTCTCCCTGCTCAGCTGCGCGTTGATGATGTCAGTGGGAATTAATGCTTCAAACAGTGAATTAAGCAGCATAATGTGCCAAAGACTAAGAGAAACGCCAGCCCAAGAAGACCAGAACTCTTTAGCATTGTTCTTAATAAAAAATTCAACTGCAAAATAAACTGGTGTCAAAACCAAACACGGTGTGGTGGCACCGGGAGGTAACACGCTTAGCAGTGGCATTCAGATGACGCTACCTCAGGATGCTTTATGTCAGTGACAGAGCGACAGGGCTTCACAGCAAATGACAGACAGACTTCTTTTGTCTGGCCCCCTAAATCACTGGGCCGCTATTACCTGCTTCAGCATCTCACAACTCAACTAAAAACAACCTGCAGCCCGTACCAAAAATAAATTAGCAGACCTGCAACAAAATGAGAATAACCGACTGCTTTCTGTTGAGGTTTCTCTTTGGCAGTAGGGACACGTGAGCCAACTCTCATTTACAGTTTGTTCTTCCTAGCCGATTTTGGGCTAACTCCATCACAGACCCATGCAGCACTGCTGGGGCTACCGGAGTTTTATTTCCCGAGCTTTTTTCCAAGAAACGTTTTTCGGGGACGGCATCGTCGCGGGTGTTTCCAGCCCGGCAGGGCTGAGCCCACCGCCCCCGTCCCCTCCCTGCCGGGACCCCCGGGTGCCGGGCAGAGCCGTGGGGCACGGGCCCGGGCCCGGGACTCACCTATTCGGCCGAAGCTCTCCGATAAAGTTCTCCGCAACTTTTTCATCCTGCTGATTTTCTCGGCGGACTGCGAGTCGATCATGTCACACATCGGGGGGCGACCCCGCGCTCCCGCCAGCCGCCAGCCCGCTGCCCCGGCTCCGGGGCAGACACCGCCCCTCCGGCCCGGGGCTGTCCCCGCAACCCGAGGAGCCGCCGGGCGCCGCGGGACGGCCCCGGTCCCGCCCGCAGAGGAGCCCTACACCGCGGCCGCCGCCGCCGCCGCCGGTGCTGCCGGTGCTGCTGGGCTCCGCGCCGCCCGGCTCATAGCCCCGGGCCGCCCTGGCCCGGCTGCCCGGCACGGCCGGACGCGGCGGGCAGGGCGGGGGCCACGGCAGCGCCGAGGGGAGACGGAGGAGCGAAAGCAAAGTCCGGCCAGGGGCTGCGGGCGCCGGCGGCGGGAGGGAGGGAGGGCGTGAGGAAGGGAGGGAGGGTGCGCTGAGAGAAAGGAGGAGGAGGAGCCTGGGCGGGCCGGGGAGCCCCGGGGAGGAAGGGCGGCGGCGGCGGGGGCGTGAGGGGGGCAGGCGGGGAGCGCCGGGGCCGGGCCGAGGGATGCGCTGTCCCGGGCGCAGGAGCGATGCGGCGATTCCAGTCGGGAGCGCTCCGGGCGGCGGCGCAGCGGCGCTTGCGGCGGCGTTCGGCGGGGCAGCGGAGACACCGAGTCCGCCCGGGGCTGCCCGCGCCCCGCTGCTGCTCCGCCTCTCTGGGGACGCGCTGCGGTACCGGCGGGACCGGGGCTGACCGGGGATCTGCGGTGGAAAGAGGCACCGACCCCCAGAGCGGCGGAGGGTGCGGGCCGCTGCCCCCCTGCTCGGTGGGGCACGGGGGAAAGGGCGCCTCGTTCACCGAGAGCACCCGGCCCGTCAGGCTGGAGCTTGGGGTCCTCTACGCGCGCATCTCCAGGCACAGCCAGATAAATATGCCTTCAAGTCCCTTAGCCTGCAACTTAATGAGTGTTGGGAGCTTTTGGGCTTGTTAACTCAATCGAAGCAACATTACTGACATATAAATCAGTTTAACACATAAAAATGGATGGTCATGTCTAGTCTAAAGCATAAAGTAGTTACTTTTCAAGAACAATATGCTAGGTAAGATTTTAAAGCCCAGGTCTTTGTGGCTCAAGTTGGTATTTTAATGTATGTTATCTGGTTAAAATTAACTTGGGTTTTAATGAGGCCACCGAACACAATTTACTAGGATTAGATGGTGTCTAAGCTCAGTTTCAGGAGCACATTTGTCTAGACAAGTGTTTAGGTGAGTTGGGTTCAAGCCATCTGCAACTCTGTGCTCTGGGGTTGGGATTGAGCTTTTCTATTATAATGCAGTGGGGATGGAGAGTATACAGCATCTTCAGGTGGAAATCTATTGCAATTCTCTATTTTAATGTACTATATGTAGAATATGCATTTATCTCTTGTGGCGTACAAGATAATGGGAACTTGTCCTGCCGTATAGCAGTACAGTAGTGCTGGTAAAATGTCTTATGCATAACACCTGAATGTACAGACAGTTTGATAAAAAGGTTTTCGGAAGTGTGAATCCTCTTGACCCTGCTAGCATCTTGGAAACAGGAGCTAAAATGGCATTTTCAGTGTGGTCTATGTTGTGTTATGGAAGGAAATTGAGAAACAGTGGAAACTGGAACCTTGCAGAGAGCAGTACAGGGAAAAGGAGGAGAAATAAAAATTAAGAAAAAACAGACAAAGGCACTAGAAGCAAAAAGGGGGAGAGAACACAAGTGTTTAAGGATGTTTAGCTAAATAATTTCAGGAAAATTACATTTAAGTACTTAATAATGGCTGATAGTTTGATCTTTGTCTGAATCTGACATTACTACCTCTTTTCTTAGTGAAGAGGAAAATGCCATCATCATAAATAAAATATTCTGATCCAGAAGGTGAAACTGAGTTTCACATCTGAGCCTTTTGCATTTTCTGTATGCACCATTCACTCCAGGGTAGCTCTGTTGTTTGGCTGAGGCTTGTAGCAACAGTGCTATAATTCAGTCTGTGACTTGCTTTCAGCAATTAGGGATATCATTTCTGAGAGCTTCTTAGTAACCTGTAATTAACCATGCTTAATTGGTAGATATTGGTAGATACTGTCTTACCTAGTGAATTAGCCTAGATCCTAGCACCTAGTGAATTTGGAAAAATATTCCCTTTTTTCCTCCCTATTTCTAAGTAAGCTAACGCTTCATCACTTGTGAAGGACAAGTCTCTGCCAGGCTACTGCAGTCTTTCTTTCACAGAAAAACAAGCAACCCAAAATTTCTGAGAAGCATCTGGCTTTGCAGCTGCTTGGGAATGATCTACAAGCATATGTCGGGGTCTTTTAAATAAATGAAAATTTTGCCTAAATTAGACACCAGTTTGGTGCCAAGTGAGAGAAACCCAGGTCTTCTCTTCTGAAAATTGTACAACCTCAGGATGCAGAGATGTTACACAGACTTTTTCCACCAGAGGAAGGACAAGCTTCCATCTGTGCACAGATTCTCCAACTGCACCCTGCAATTTGTGTCATTCTTCCCACCGTGGTCTTTATTTGGCAGAAATATTTCTGTGAAAGTCCTTCTTTGTTCTCTCCCCAGCCCAAACCTCTTCTGTTTCCAAGGGCAGTAGTATTGAAAATTCATTGAATTCAGGAATGTGGCATCACTTTTGTAGCTTTGATCAAGCTCATAAGCTGGTGGTTGTTATTTCTCATCTCTGTATTTCCATCGCCCATCTCAGGAAACCAGTAAAGCAGAAACATGCAATTAGGAAACCACAGAGATAGCAGCTACTCTGATGATGATGTTTTGTTTCCTTGTAGGGACAGGATTTTGGCTCTGTTTTAAGTCTTTCAATGTGAGGCATAAAAACTTAGCGTGAAAAACATGCAAAATGATTTTGTTGTTTGCTGCCTTCTTCCACAAGCCTCTACCAAGTTAAAGCATGTTTGCATTTAATGGGACATCTGTTTTATAAAAAGCCAGGCACATTATTTACAGCACCTTTTCTTACATCAACTCTCCAAAGAAACACCCTAAACAAAAACTGCTTGCAGTTACTTTATGACCCAAGCATCTCCTTTCCTGGCCTTGGTAAGGATTCGCTACAAATCCTGGCCTCTGCTGCTGACACTGAGTCATGCTGAATCACTCTGCAAATCTAAGTATTATCAAGTGCAGGGAAAATAATTGCCAAGATATCACTTGCAAGTTGGACAACAGGGAAACATTCACCTCAGTGTATCATGCAAGCCAGCAGCCTCATCATTTCAGTGTTTCACTCTGAGGTGTGGGTTATTTCTGAAAAAGGGGAGAGAGCAGGGCTGGCAGTTTGCTCATTATTGTGTAAAAGAACATATTGTTTGGAGCTACGAGCAGCGTGGTCATGGGCCTGGAGCACAGGGTGTGCCAGCAGTCTCCTTGCCGCAGAGGGAGCAGCCACGGCTGCCCTATTCATTACTTGCAGGGTAAGATGAAACGACAGAAAAATAAATCCGTGATGCGTAGTGCAGATGGTGGCTCGGGGTGTAACACAGATCTGTGCCCTCTCCAGATCTCAAGGCACTTACTGTTCATTTTATGGGGTAATTTTATGTGGTCTGAGCTCTCTCTAAACCCCAGTGTTTGTCATGTGTCCCCCCACTCCCAACTGTAACACTTCTTAGGGGCTCTTGAAAGGCTGGAAGTGTACTTAAGTTACATTCCTGGTGTTTGAATTTCAGAAACCTTAGGAGCACATAAACAAGCAGTGTGTGTTTGTGGAAGAGGTGGTTAATGCTGTTGATTTGGAGTGTTATGTGGGCAGAGTAAGACCTTGCATGAAGTGGTCTGTTGGAGGAAAGCAGTAAAGCTCTCTAGGGAGATGAAACAGTCAGTGTAACTTCTCTGGGGAGAGCAGTGTCATGTCAGGCCTTCTGCTGCCAGTATAAAGTAGATTTTCATAAATCTCCTTGGCTGGAGACATTCTGCATTAGGCCAGTATGCTCACCTTGAAAAGATCTCTCTGCTGCGGCGTCTGGGACCTGAGTGCTCGGAGCTGTGTTGCTTGTTAACACACAGCAATCCTTTCGTGACCCTCCAGTGATGAAGATGGATGTACAGTCACGTAACGCACCCCCTCCTCTTCCCCCATCCCCCAGTCTCACTTTCACTTGTCCTCTAATAATACTCAGTCCAAGATGACTATTATCTGAAGAGAAAGCCAGGCTCTGCTAACACACATGGTGTTGTATCCTTAGGGACATGACCTTTAAGCTCTGCTAGCAAAATGCATTAGTGACAAAAATTAAACTTTGGCAATAGCAGAACAGTACACGTGTAATCTGCATCCACATCATAACTTGTTCCCACAAAAAGTTCTCAGAGCTGATGTATTTTATGTTGCCTTATTGGTGATTGCCATTAAATCCCAGTTTTTATGCACCCGTGGAAATTTTCCCCTTGTTGATATTCCATGCATCCCTGCTGATTAATGGAGGGCACACAGGCCCACGTACTGCCTCTCCAGCCTGGCTGCTATTTCCAAAGCCTGCTCTGTGGGGTAAGAAGGGATGAGTTAAGGTTCACACGCATGGTTCCAAAGGCACAACTGGAAGAAAGTGTTTTTCCTGCTGCCTTATATCCAGCTGCTGATTCGAGGTGACCTGCGGAGCCATCCATGGTTTTACACCTCTAGTACCCCCTCGTGGTCACTTTATTTCGTGTATTAACACACGGGGTCACTTGTTTTCTGTTTCGTTCTTACTTTACACCATCACATCAGGGGTTAAATAGCTGCAAGTAAAACATAACATTTTTAACCTTGATGCTTGTAGTTCCTGTCTCTGTTAGGCAGTTTCCTTGTGGTGTTTGTGAGCAGTTAATTTCCCAGGAAGGTATGGATTCTTTTTGGCTTGGCCATCACACAAAGCTGTGGGTTAACCCCTGTAGGCAGCTAAACACTGCACATCCACAGAACAGAAAAGTAAGAGCAAACACAAGAGTTGATAATCTTATAAGCAAAGAAGTGGAATAAGAAAGAAAACAAAAGATAAGTGATGCAAAGGCAATCCCTTCCCACCTCTGACACACAGAGTGATGCCCAGCCTGTCCCTGAGGCAAAAGACAACTGGTCTGCCTAAACTGCACTTCTCTCCACTGCATTGCTGAACATGTTGTTATATGGCATGGAATATTGCTTTGGACAGTTT